CAATTCTTGTTTGCAGGTCACAGCTTCACGCTTGCTGCTTTCTAAACAAACAATTCCTCATTATTATTTAACTGTAGATACCCGTGTAGATAAACTTATGGAGTGAGTATCTACTAAAGGTTTTTGTTCCTATTTTTGGTTTTCTTTATTGCACATTAGAGAACATCAGTCATGTTGGTGGTCAAATGCAGGTTGCGAAACCAACTTAACTCTCTACAAGAAGCATCTGGTGGGAAAAGAATTTCTGTGAACGACCTTGTGATAAAGGTATCTTGTTTTTCTACTCATCTTTTGCGCCACTTATACCTGGAAGTATCACCTAAATGTTATGATGCTGTGGCTGTTTAACAAGTTTTATTCTAATGATGTGCATAAAACTTGCCACTTTGGCAGTACTTTGAGTGCTGAAAGTAACAATATATTTTTCCATGTTGAATGAATAGACAAGTCACCAAGATTGAAAATCAGATGTCTGAACTTAATTTTTTCCATGCTCCATGCCCGGTTGTTATTGACATCTAAACGTTTTTTCCTATAGAGCTGGTTACATGTGGTGTGGGATTCAAAGCTAATAAAGCTCTTGTAAGAAATTAACTGCATTATTGTGACTTGTTTCAAGTCGACTACAATGTTAATTATGTTATTAGAGCCAGTTTTTATTTTGGGACACCCTGACAATAGAGGGGCTTGCTCGAAACGAAGAAAGTTAGTTGGCAGGTCACAAAAGCTGCAGATTGTTCATGCAGTTTAAGCTCAGACAATATGGAGCCTTCTGGATTCCTTTAGGGCAATTTGTAGAGGCAGCATAATGGAAATGAGGTATTCTTGTTTATCTTTATGAACCACAACTAGCAGAATGAAACCCCATTCCCAGTCCTGACCCTGTAAAAGTTGCCCATAATTATTTGGCTCTAAGAAATGCTGACAGTTAAAGATAGTTTAAATTCTTACCAGGAAGCTATGAAGCACGGACACGCATAACATGAAGCCGTGTCGTGTCGTGTCCGTGTCGGACACACGTGTCGAACACACGTGTCGAACACACGTATCCTATGTATTTTTTAGGATTTGCCTCGTGTCGGCGTGTCGGATGGCCGTGTCGGATCCGTGTCCGTGCTACATAGCCAGGAAGAGACTTGAGTAATATGGTAGAGGAGGCACCTGAATTTTTTATGATAGACATTAATCAAAGGTACAAAAGATAGCAAATACCTGTATCCTGAAATTTTGGTGTTTGTTACATGAATCCTTTCTTTGTTGTCATACCTTTTCTAACAATCACCTTTTCTGGTAGATTGACACCCATCACAATTTCTTCCGTGTTCCAGTCCATGTCCATTATTGCCCTACCGTAGTCCTGGATACTGCTCAACTAATAGTCCTTCATCCTAATTGCTCACTCATTGATCTCAACTATACATGCACAATCTCAAATGTCTCTCTCATAAATTTTATCACTGAACTTTAACTGCTCATGAATTTACTCTCATGAATCTTATTGCTGAACTTTTAACCGGCGCTCATGAATTTACTCTTTCTTTTGTTCATCACACTCTGGACAAAGTTACACTTTTTTTTTTTGTGAAAACTTGAGTGTAGCAGAGGAGAATTTTGTGATAAACACATAGCTATACAGTTAAGAGGCAGGACCAAAAATGAGTGCATTCATAGAAGGTTAGTGGTTACTCTTGTTGAATTGGAGTGAGAAAGAATTGACTGGGATGGCTTGCCATGTGCGATGGAGATCATTAAATGCACCAATTTGGGGAAGTGAGAGGATTATAACTAATGGAGCAAGAAGGACGAGTGGAAGGCTTAAGAGAATTTGATTAGAAACAATTAAGAAGGACATGCTAGTGGTTATTTTGCTGGAGGAGATACCCCTTAAAAAATTGATAGAAGAATAGGATTTATTGTAGTCAAGGCCAAAAATCTGGGATAGAGGATTTGTTGTTGTTGTTGTTGTTGTTGTTGGTATTGTTATTCAGCTATATTCACTGTTGGTACTTGATATGTTGGTTTTTTAATGTTCAATGTTCCAACGTGTTAAGTATAATTTGTAGGTTTTTATAGTTCTCACTCGTGTTATGGGTATCGTATGGTTACATTACATGGTATACCAAAAATAATCTCTCATTCACCAAAGACGGAGAAAAATACTGAAGGGAAATTGAAATGTTTTATCTGGTTATATACGTAGTGTAGAAAAATGGTAGTTATATAATGAAGGAGGTCAGGAGGAGGCTCAATTTGTTTGCTGTGGTGGTATATAATTCAAAGTTGTAAACAATCAAGTAACTAGCTGTAGGCTTCCTGTGCTTGTACTCATTATTCATATAAAAATGTTTAATATTTTTTTCAAAATTTGTTACTAGGCAGCAGCTTTGGCTCTTCGCAAAGTTCCAGCATGTAACAGTTCCTGGATGGATGATTTTATTCGCCAGTAAGTTTTAAATAAATGACACACCCTTTTCTGTAGTGTAAGGTATTTGCAATTTCACCTGGACAATGTTCCTTTCCCCCCCTATGCAGGTATAACAATGTGAATGTTAACGTTGCTGTGCAAACTGATAATGGATTGTTTGTTCCGGTTATCAAAGTAAGTAGAGATGTTACTGCATTCTTCAATTCCTGATTACTATTCTTTTTCATTTAGCATCATCGTCGTCGTCATCATCATCATCATCATGTAAGCCTTTGTCATTGAAATAAATCAGGTTTTAAGCAAAAACTCTGAAGTTGGATGGCTCATGCTAATAATCTTGACAAAAAATTTCTGACACATTTAACTTGACAACAACCGTCTTGAGTTGCTTCTGAATTTCCTGGCTAAGGGTATAGTGGACAAAATAAGGAGTTAACAGAAAACTCATTGGCCTTAATTTTGGTAGTTAGGAAACCCTCATTTACTGGTGATGCAGTTTAAGATCATGTAAGCGGAGAAACCCGTCAAAAATCTCCTGGAGTAGGGAACATTCTAGAAGGGAAAATCTGAGATCTTTTGCTATCAATTTTTATTCATATCTAAGTTCAAATGCAAACGCAGTACCGTATTTATTCTGCTCATTTCATACTACAAATAAATGATGCTGCAGGATGCAGATAAAAAAGGGTTAGGTACAATTTCGGAAGAGGTCAAACAGCTAGCTCAGAAGGCCAAAGACAACAGTCTGAAACCAGCAGATTATGAGGTGGGTGCTAACACTTTCAGATGGCATCAATGTTTATGTCATGGCTGTACAAATTTGTTAATTGATGAGTTTTTATTCGCAGGGAGGCACATTTACTGTATCGAATTTGGGAGGTCCGTTTGGAATCAAACAGTTCTGTGCCATAATAAATCCTCCTCAATCTGGCATTCTTGCTGTGGGCTCTGGTATAATAATGCTTTCCTCATCAAAATAGATCTCGAATTTATGGTTATGAAGATTTATTGTCTGATACGGGCCTTTTCGTGAGATTTATTTCATGACATGTTTTTCTTTTTTGTTTGGTGCAGCTGAGAGGAGGGTGATTCCTGGGGCTGATCCGGATCAATTTGATTTCGGTTCCTTTATGTCGGTCACATTGAGCTGTGATCACCGAGTGATTGATGGTAGACATCAATGCAAAATGATTACAAATTTTTTCCATATTTTTCTCAAACAGTCATCATCATCTTATGTTTATGTGTGAACATGACATCTTTTAAATTCCCTGTAATTTTAGGTGCCGTTGGAGCAGAGTGGTTGAAGGCGTTCAAGGGCTACATTGAGAACCCAACATCCATGTTACTTTAAACAGCTTGTGCGTCTTACAGTTTTGCAGGCTTTACCAAATAATCAGGCTCTTTGATTCTTTTCTTTGGTGTATAATTTATTTGAGGTTTTGGCCAGAAAACTCAAGAGCCTAGAGTTGGAAACTGGATTCAAATACGGCAGTGTACCGCATCTGTGCAGATGAAATGTGAAACCTTTTGATTTGAGCAAATCAAGATGTTTATCATTCAAACATTTTTTTTTCTGGCTAATAAAAATGTGCAGCAGTCTTTTGGAATGAACGTATGTTTCTGCTCGTAAAATTTGTAGAGCGAAGCTATGATTTTCCTTTATCATAGTTTTTGTGTCATTAGCAATTCCTTTTCTTGCTTAGCTTTGAAACTGAAGTGGTGGTGGTTGCTTCTGCTGTTTAAAGAACTTCTACTCGAAATTTCTTCTTCAGAAAGATTTTGAATTTACTCTAAGATATTATGCGACGGTCACTGAATACTGAATTCAAGTAAATATTCGACGTGCAAGAGCTGGGTGGCGATAATTTTTCCGTCTATAATCTGTACCGTGGATTCTATTTGGTACCGGAATCAAGAGAAGATGACTTCACCTCTGTGAGAGGCAGAACCATTATGTGATCAGACTATTTGCTTCCTTCTTCATGGGGTGCAGGAAACTGATTTATGGGTTTTTAGTTCCCGAAATCGTTCATATTTTGAAATTAATCCTTCAAATCTTCACCAATTTCAGCCACATCACTATTATATTATATATGTTCGTCAAGTATTGTAGATCTTTAACTGCTCAGCTATGTAACTGATAAAACAATACTCTCTGTTTATTAGGTTATTTTACTTTTTTCAGCAGTAGTTTTGGAATTTGTAACATTCTCGGATTACCTTCCTTTTTACCTTATCGTTTGAGATATTTCGGGTTCACGCATTGACAAAAGATTTGATCTAGAGTTACCGATACAAAGTTATTCATTTTGAAGATGACAAATGATTCATGAAATATTGGATTCCCAATTTTGAAGTTGGTTATAGTGACAAACCGTTGTTCAGAGAATTAAGTGAAGTTAAGAGAGTTTTTTTCTTCTTCTTAGAAACCACCATTAAATAGGATTATTATATGGAAAACCCATTTCAATTTTAATTTATACATAAACTATCTTTAAATAGGTTTTGTTGCTGCTCAATATCAAACAGCCGATTAATCCAGAAGAGGATGGTCGTGGGTTGATGAAGGATGATGGAGGGCCCGCTCCATTCTTCAACTTTATGCCTGATTCTCGAACGAGGGCTTGATGTCCACGCTGCACAAACAAGAAGAACATGTGAGAGGGAGAAGACCAGTTCCCCCGTGGTTCCTCCGATGATCAAGTTAGTGAAACTCGAGTGGGGAAGAGGAAGGTCAAGAACCAATGTGATTTTTAAGGTGGCAAGAACTGTGCGTGCCCAGAGGATCTACGTGAGCTTCTCTGTATGGACGAAGAACTGTGTGTTCTTGTTTTTGTGTCATCTATACTTTAGGGGGTTTTAGATTGCTCACCTCGCTCCTTTCCTTTTTTTTTCTTTGGTTATGGCCAATAGCATTTGTATATATAGAGGATCATCCTTCGCAGACTGGTCACTTCGCTATGCAAATGGCGGTGACATAGTGCGAGTTGGAAGGTGAGTCATCACTTCACAGATGTCGACTGGTGACTAGAGGGGAAGTCACTTCGTCACGGGAGAGGGTGTCTTCGTATTCTCCGGGAAGTGATTGATAGCGTGGCAGAAGTCACGTGGGTATACTGAATCATCCCTCGCTTTTCAGGTGTCAGCTAGCGACCGGAGGGGAAGTCACTTCGACATGGGAGATGGTGTTTTCGCATTCTCCGGGAAGTGATTGAGCTGACAAGTCATAGAGACTTATTAGGCCAAAATTCAGATAAGGCTTGTCCGAGGTGGACGAAGATGTCGACATATGCTCTAGGATATAGAGGCTTGGAGCTGGGGTCGAATTCTCAATTTAATTGATAGCAGAGGATGTCCCTCCAGTTGCTTTTGAGAATTGCCTAGTGAGTGGTCGAATTTCCTAAGTAAGGTCGTCCTTTATGATAGGATCGACCGACACCGTCTTTCGCGTCGACTCAGGAATGTCGGCATGTCCGACTGGTTGGAATGTTGTTTCGTCTCAACTAATAATCGTCTCTTGAGTCGATATAAAGATGTCGACTTGTATGGGAGGTCAGGATCTCTCGTGCCGACCAATATCGCTTTTGGTGACGACACCATAGAGTCGACTTGATAAGTTGGTGAGGGTCGAGTCCTCTGTGATCGTGCCTTGGGTTTGTAATTCGACTAAGGAATCAAATGCCTAGAACTTTTGAAAGTTGACTAGGACTCTCATTGTATCATTTTACAAATATCTGTATCTTGGGTGAGTGAACACCATAACAGGTTTTTATTACAATCGACCACTTTCTAGTCGCACTTTCACTATTTAAAAAAAATAGAGATAAGCTTAAAAAAAATCAAGTTCAATGTACATCAGTTTTATGCTAATAATACCTAAAATATTAGGGGAAAAAATGAGTCCTTGATTTCAATGTGAGTTTTTAAGGTTAATTTTGTACTCGTAGTAAAACTTTTGAGTAGAAGGTGATTGGTTACAAAAATATCTATTTTAAAAGTGATTTACGTATAAATTGAACTTGAGAAATGATTTTGAGGGGAAAAAAACATGTGAGGAAAAAAGTTGTCAGATCCTATCCGGGTCGGGTCTAATAAGTACCAGATCCAATGAGGCCAAACCTCATTTGATTCGCTCCCTCGTTCGGGGCTCTTCTTCCAAGATCGGAGGAATTCGAGCCCAAAATGTCGAGATCGAAATGGAGGATTTCTCCATACTCTTTTCTTCTGCTGCTCTCATTTGCCTCTGTTCCCTTATCCGGATCCAGCAGCAGCAGCAGCAGCAGCAGCAGCGAGAGGCAGCGAGAGGGAGAGGAGGAGGAGGAGCGTGATCGACGTCGAGGGTGGGCCCCAGTCTGTGGTGTGGGCGGTCCAGCTGTCGGATCTCCACTTCAGCGTCTTCCACCCCGAGAGAGCTCAAGATTTCAAGAGGCTGGTGGGCCCCGCCCTCTCCATGATCAAGCCTTCCCTCGTCCTCATCACCGGCGATCTCGCCGGTCGGTAGATATTTATTCACCTTTGTTGTTGTTGTTGATGATGATTTCCCCCCCTCCATTGTTTGGATGCTTGATGGTGGATTTTGGTTGCTTATGCCTAAATTAGTGATGGGTATCCAATGGAATTTCACAAGGATCAAGTTTCTTTTTGACGATTTATGGTAGTAATGGGTTACATTTTGATGCTCAATCTTTTGCTGAACTGAGCTAAGTTACTGATTAGGTGGATTTTCAGTAAAAAAGTTTTTTGATTTTTCCTCCACCTGCTTCATGCATTTTAATTTTGAAGGGCCTTGTGTCTTGATTGAATCATAGATTCAATGATATTATTGTGAGTAGGATCTATCTTTCGGGAGTCTTATTAATTTGAAATGTTCTATGTTGGAGTTTCTTCACTAGTTCTGCACAAAAGCTGGAGTTTTGATAGTGAGTACAGCAAGCATTGTGGATTGATGGTGAGCCCTCTTGTTGTTGGAAAGCAGTAATAACGTAGACGGGATGATCTTTTGATATGCTGCCAACTAGTCTTGATCTATGACATGGAAATGCTTACATAGAGTGTGAAAACAAATTTCAAAAGCATCTTTTTACATTTCTATGGCTTTAAAGTTGTTTTATTATCACCCTATTACTTTAACTTCTCATTGAATCCCTCTGATTATTTGCTAAGCTAAACAATGGCTTGTTATTCCTATTAATAGGCCATCGTGCTCATAATTGAAACCTGCTATAAATCTATGATGAATGTTGAATAGCGATAATTCGTAAGGGTATTAACCAAATATGGATGCCAAGCTGTTTTCCTCAAGATTTACCACTCTCTTTTTCTATTCAACCTAATTTCTCTTATCTTTCACATTTACTTTAATAACTATTTACGTTTGAAATTAACATTTCCGAAGGTCTAAACATGTGGGTGCCCAAATAATGGAATATATATATATATATTATATAATATATATATATATATATATATATATATATATATATATAGTATATATATTAATATATATATAATAATATATATATATATCTACTCCCTTTAAAAAGCATGAGTTCGTAATAAATATGGAATATCATATATATATAATATATAATATATATATATATATATATATAGTATATATATATAATATATATATATAATTATATATATATATATATATATTATATATATATACTATATATATTATCAACTCCAGCTTTAAAAGCATGAGTTCAGAGAAAGACTTTCTATGGTCAATATTACTCTTTACTATTTTGAATATTTTATTTCAATATTTATTTATCCTAATTCTAATTATATCTTATACTAACCATACATGAACTATCTATAACTCAACAATTTAAAAAGATAAGATTAATAATATATAAGAAACACTCTTTTGAATATTTTGTTTAAATCTTAATCTTTCCTAATACTAATTATATCTTATACTAATCCAACGTGAACTACCTATAGCTCAACAATTTAAAACAATTAAGATTAAGAAATCACACATAGCTAACATATTATAATACATGATTTTTTTTTAAAACCCAAAAAGTTTCAAAAATTGCACAAAATTCCCTCAAAAGTTTAAAATACATAAAACACCTAACTTTTCAAAACTTAAAACAACAAACATAAATTTACAATTAACACCCTCAACATCTCAAAAATTGTGTAAACAACCTCAAAATTTTAAATTATAAAAAGCACCCTAAAATTTTAAATTTTTAAAACTTGCAAATAACATAAATGAATTCAAGGAATTACCATAAGGCACTTGAAAGTTTAAAATTTATGAAAAAACCTCATTGTTATAAAAATTATAAAAATTCCCTCAAAAGGTAAAAGTCACAAAAACCCTAAATTTTTAAAATTTATAACTAGTACTCATCAAATCTGGAAATTATTAGTAAGCTACAAAAAATTTAAATTTTACAAAAAATAACCCAAAGTTTTAATAATTGTAAAATGCGCCTTTAAAATTTCAGAGTTGTAAAAAATATCCTAAAATTTAAAAACTCACCACCAACATACGAAATATGAAAATTACAAGCACCAAACTTGGCAAAGAAAAGAGAAATTGTTTAATATTCAAAATTCAAGACCTTTAAATATGAATGTAACATAATTCATTACTAAAATTCTTATTAAAGAACACTAAACATAAAATCCACCTTATATCCGTCTCAAATTTGTAGGAAAAATATGCATGTCATCGTAAATTGCGTTAACAATATCTATTAATCCAAAGATACAACTTACTAAAGGAATAATATAATGGTAAGTAAACCAAGTAGACATCCATATAACACAATAAAGAAAAATATTACATTTTAATGCTAATATGCAGTCAGAATAAGCTACCAATATAAAAGCATCTCAATCAATGCTTTTTACAAATACAATACAAATTCAAATTATTGATATATACATTCATCACAACATTCAAAAGAAGTATGATTTACAAGACCTACTCTAAAATTCACACAATTAAACCAAAAAATAGTTTACTAATATGCAGACATGCTATTGTGCATATAATGTAAAGATAACTACCATTTCCTATAGAGTTGAACTGTTGTTCTATGCTTGCAAAGGTTGTAACAATAAGATGGATAGAAAATATTAATAAGAGTGTCCAAATGATAAATGACATAGACTGCCGATAACATAGTACGAGAGTTGAGTAATATTTATTCTTCACAAAATAAACACATCAAAATTAAATTTTAACATTATAATCTAAGCCAAATTGATAATAAAAATATAGTTATTTAGTTCAGATCCTCGTAGAAAATGACACAGATAGAGCAAATGTAGCATTATTTGATACATCATAAACTCTTATTAGATGTACAACAGAAGAATTTATTACAGAGGAAAAATAGGTAACTCGTATCATTATTTAAGTAATAAATTAGAACAAAAATTGTATATATTAAATTAACCTCTATTCTTGTTGATGTGTAGAATCACACAATCAAATGGTGGGAGTGATCAAATTAATGGAGGTTCTCTAACCCTCCGAATGCTTGATCCTTGAGCAAGCTACTCCTCCCTGCATAAGTAACAAATCGTAAGAGGACAGGGTATGGTTCCCCCGGTTATTCCTCCGACGATCAAGTTAGTGAACTGTTTGTTTGGAGAAGTAAAAGGAACTGTAGTAGTTCTTAAGTTCAGAGAGTAGTGAGAAAGAAGCTTATCTTATCATTGAAAATAATATTTCCTTTTATAGTAGTGGAAGAAGAGGTGTGATGGTAACTTCGGCCGGACATGGACTGACGGCCTATAATGCATTTAATGACATTTATTGATAGGTGATTGATCATCAGTGCACAGGAGAGGCTCAAGGCTCTAGGCATTTCGTCGCCTTTTTACTTGTTGGATGGTCGATAAGTACCTCCTTTTGAGTCGTTCGTGCAAGGTGTCGGCCGAGTGGAGTAGTTAGGTAGTCGACTCAGCCAGGGGTTGATGCATAACGCCTTTCGGGTCATTGACATGTAACACATTTCGAGTCGTCGATAGGTGACGCTTTTCGAGTCGTCCTAGTAAGATGTCGGCGTATTGAGTCAATCGAGTTGTAAGGTTTTAAATATCGGTTATCGGGGATTTATCGGATAGTCAAAATCCTTATCGGATAGCGAAAATCGGGGATATATCGTGGATAAGTAGTATTTATCGGAGTGATATACTGGATGATGTATATATAATATAATAACCAAAAAAATATAATCTAACCATGCTTGTTGAAATATAAACGTCAGCGAAGTGAGCTTCGAGGTCGGGGAGGCGAGCGACGAGGTCAACGGAGTTAGAGGGGAACAGAGATCTTGAGCTCGATGGAGTTCGAAGAGGCTCGGAGAACAACCGCACAGAGAGGGAGAGAGATTCACGACGGTTTAGGGCTGAACTTGAAGTTAGAAACTTCATTTTATTGTCAAAAACGGGTCAGGTCGGGTTTAAGAACTCACTAAGTAACAGCCCATTACCTAACAATTCAACTCAAACTCACGCCGATAAAACCAATATTTTCAGCCTCCCTTATCGGCCGATAAGTGTCTTTATCGTGATAACTCGCCGATAAACCCATAAAAACGATAACCGATTAAAAATTCTACTTATCCTAGCGGAAAGCTCCCAAATCCGATAACTCGGCGATAATATCGGATTATCGGCGTATATTTAAAACCATGCTGAGTTAGGCCCTTGATTGTTTTGAGATGTTGACTTGATTATGCATAATGTGGGATACTTGTCTGCCAATGATTAGATATTATTTTCCATCACTAAAACGGCTATAACAATTCTCATTGAAACGGAAAAACAATTAAAATTCATATTTCTAGAAGTTTGTGTTGAACATTGAAAATATTTGCAACTTCTTTGTTAAGTAAGATGAGTATGCAAAAGATAAACGAACCTAAGAAAAGATAAACGAACCTAAGAAAAGATAACAGTACAAGAAATCCACCTCCAACCTGAAGTGATAATCGATGTAGATGATGGAGACATCACTCTTAAATTGCACGAGAAAAAGATAAAGGTAGAGAAGAATTGATCTCGACTCAATAGAACAAATGAAACATAAGGAATAAAAAATTTATTTCTAAATATTATATAGAATAGTTTTATTTTTTTAGTAAAATTAGGAATATTTAGAAGGGATATTCATAAACTATTTTTAGTACTTTATATACTTATGTGGATACTTTAATCATGTAAAAGCGTACTAGAGAGCATTAATCTGTAGTTTATAGTTTTTTATGAGGTCTATCAATGATTAAGAATAGCTTCATATTCTCTTTAGTTTCGTTCTAACCCGTTTTTAATCAATCATCTTGGCTTATTGGCTTTAATTATTCGCCTTGCTTTTATAGTGCTATTTTTTAAGTATTTTTTATTTTTGCAATACTTTACTTTCTTAAGCAAAGCTTGGTTTCATATTAGTCCAAATAACATGAAAATTCAAATTAGCTTTGGATTACATTTGTTCCATGTCAATTCAATTATCAACATAAAAATTTAAATTCAATGTAGTCTATTCAAATAAGCATCAAAGAAAATAAATAATCACAATGCTAAAGCTTAGAGACATAAGTGAGCAAAAACTATTAAAGTGAAACCGAGAAACAAATTTTAATGAGGAAATAAATTAAAAATACTTAATCATGACATTTTGCTATGTGCATTGCACATGCATAAAACCTAGTGTGTGTGTATGTATGTGTGTGTGTAGATCTATATATATGTGTGTGTTTGTGTGTGTGTGTGTGTATGCTAAGCTCTTTTCCTAAAGATTTACCACTTTCTTTTTCTATTCAACCTAAATTCTCTTATCTTGCACATTTACTTTAATAACTATTTACTTTTGAGATTAACATTTCGGAAGGTCTAGACATGTGGCCGATTTGTCATATACTATTACTAGCAAACCAAATAATGGCCTCTTCATGCCACATTGCAAATACAACTCACAAAAGTGAACCAGATATGAAGCCCAGGAAACCAATGAGTTGGAGAACTATTATTGTTTAACGATAATAATGGCCTCTTCGTATGTTGTTCGTTGTTGCTGATAAACTGGGTTATTGTACCATTCTATCCTGCGAAATAAAACATGCATCTGCTTTAGCAGCTGCAAAGTTTGCCTGCATTTTGCCGGCACTTTGCTCATCCTTATCATTTACATTGGATATTCAAGAATTTTGGGACCAGATAAGTTCAAATCTTGCACCATTTATTTCCATCAGACCAGAGTTTGCATGCACAAAATGAAGGAAAAAATGCATGACATTACATTTCCCACCGAGTCATCATATTTAATTTCACTGACCATTTTTTCTCTATGTATTATATTGAGATGGTTATACTTGCTAGAAATAAAAAAATGACCGTCATCTTGGAAACTGATTGTTCTTAATTTTTTAACTAATTTACTGGTAGATGGAAAAAGCAAAGATTTGCTAACCATGAAGCAAGAGGAAGCAGAGTGGATAGAATACAGAAACACAATGGAAGAAATCATTCAGCAGAGTGGACTGGATGAGAAAATTTTCTATGATCTGAGAGGGAACCATGATTGTTTTGGGGTGCCAGAAGTTGGTGGAGCATATGATTTTTATCAGAAATATAGCTTGAACTCAAGGCTGAGACGACAAGGAGATGTCCAAAGCATCACATTACAGGTGAGCAAATTTTAACCATCACTATTGGTATCAAAAGGGGGCAATATTCTAATTTCCTTAATATCTGTGCACCAGCATTCAAGAAACTGATCCTTCTTTCGAGTTCCTCAAGTTCTTTATGAATTTCTATTAAATTATTGAAAACATGTTATCTTAACCATTCATGAAATATTTGTTATATTTTACATATTTTGTGATTGGGTATTCAACTACTAATGTGAAACAGATCCAATCTCCAATTTGTGTCGAGTGAATCATGTTTCCCACAGGAATATTTGTTGTATTCTACATAGAGATCACATTTGGTTCTTTTCTCTGTGAAGTTATCTTGTTGTACGTTTGGATTTTTAAATTTTAATTTATGCTTGTTTAACATAACATAACACGTGAACAGAGTAAAAATGAAATAAAATAATTTGCATTTAGTCCACCTTCAATTGGCACACAATTCCACAATATTGAACATATTGGCCCCTTGTTGCTTTTTTTGCGTTAATTTTCAATAATTAGACAAACAAAACGAAATTTTGGTGCATTTTCTTTTCTCTTGTCTTCATTTATATGGAAATAGATTTCTTATTTACTTACTCTAGTTGTCATTTTCTTCATTATTCTTCTTGAGACAATTTCTATAATACTTCTGATATTAAGGTTATCATCAAAATGCAGAATGGAGGATGGAAGCATGTTTTTATCGGTTTAGATAGCACAATGGAAATTGGTCTACGTGGTCCAACAAATCTCTTCGGTCATCCAACTGACAAATTACTTGCAGATTTAGATGCAGAACTTTCACAATGGGACGCCGAAGCACCAAAGTCATCCATAACAAAAATATCCTTTGGGCACTTCCCCCTGTCCTTTTCAGCATCATCAGATACAGGGAAAAGTTTGAGAGATGTCTTTCTTAAGCATTCCATATCAACCTATCTTTGTGGGCATCTTCATACAAGGTTTGGGAAGAATCTAAAGCGCTTTCATACTCTGCCATCGGGAAAATATTATCAATTTAACATTCAACAAGGAACTGCACATGATATTGGTAAGCAGAATTGCTCTTTGAAAGCTGAACCTGCCAAAGAATTTTGGGAGTGGGAGATGGGTGATTGGAGAAAGAATAGAGCTATGAGGATAGTTGCAATTGATTCTGGTCACGTGTCCTTCTTAGACACTGATTTCAAGTTTGGATCCCGGGATATGATTATATTGCCTACTTTTCCTCTGGATTCTCGATTTATGCAAAGGGTTTCGTACTTGCGTGACTACAAATGTCAAACCATGAGAACATCGTCATATGACACCATAAGAGCTCTAATTTTCACAACGAAAAGGGTTGTTTCTGTTTCTGCAAAAATATATGATTCTCTGCCCGGGACTCTTAGCTTGGTGCTAGATTCCTCAATGGTAAAGCTTGACGATAATGGAACTCGAGGGGACTTGTATGTGGCCCCATGGAATTGGAGGGCATTTGTAGATTCATCTCCAGATCGATATTGGCTGCAAATAGAAGCAATCGACATTTCAGGAAGTATTAATTATAGCCAACTGAGGCCTCTCTCTATTAATGGACTTCCTTACAAAATTAATTGGAGATGGAGGGAATTCTATGTTATGGGTATTCAGTGGGCTGCGATGTATCATCCTATTTTGTGGACGGTTATTGCACTTATATTCTCTTTGTTGATTATGCCCCAAGCGTTTTTAATGTGTTCAAAGCAACCCTACACATACAAAAGAGTCAATCCTAGCTTCACCGGGAGAAGTCAGAGGGAATGCATGCTCCCTGGTGCATTTTGGGTCTTGATGGAGCTTTCTAGGGCTCCAATTATATGGACAGGAATTTTCTTATATGTGCTCTATCTCATGTTCTTCCCTTGGATTTATGGGCATATTTTTACTGAAAGTAATAAGATGGCATACATGAACTACAAAGGTTGGAATGTTAGCGGGTATATTGGGGTGCCTGATGTTATGGTAGTTGTTATACCTCACCTATGCTTTGTTGTTCTACCCACAATTTTAGTTGCTGCTGTTCTGACTTCAGAAAGGACAGCGTATAGGACGCACTTCTTCTCATTGTCAGGGAAGAAAGAAGATGATCAGTTTGTAGAGGGGAAGAGACATGTTAAACATAGAATTTTTTGTGATGCATTTTGCTTCTCTAGCTGGCGTTGGTTGAGAAAATTCTTTTTGCTGATTTGCCTGGCGATTTTGTGGAAACACTTGAAGGTAAGCATCGAGTTTTTTTGGATACAACTCTTGCATTTTTTTGTTTTAATAGTTAAGAAAATAAGGTCTGCCTTAGGACCTGTTAAGATGCCTCAAATTGAAGAAACCAAATAATTATGAGGTTTCTTGAACATACATTTACTCGTCATAAAATGGGTGGATCTTAATGATGGATCCTGGGAACATAATATTCAATTTGTAGTGGAGCGTTATACATAAACCAACAGTGTAATAATTGATCAGATCTATATTTTTGGGTACACAGTCATTATAGTTTAATTTGGATGCTCGGTCTCACAAAACCCCCCAGAACTTTGGGGTGTCTCATAAAACCCCTCATAAAACCCCCTGAACTTACTTTGGGGTGTCTCATAAAACCCCCTGAACTTTCAACTTTCCTCACCATCCTCACTAGAACCAACCCCACTGCCCCTCGCCCCAGGCTTGTTTTTTACCCATCGCCCTTAACCACCTTCTACCTTTTGTGCACTATTTTTGTTATGGAGATAGTTAAGTATGATTCAAGTTGGATAGCCAAATTTTCATGTATATCTAATTTTTCATAGATATGATTTAAGATAGAAAATATATCCGTGTAACATGTATTGAATGGAGGAATGAATTTTGCTTACAATTCTTGGTTTCTTTTGAATGTCGCAGCAATGCAGAGCTCTGGTGAAAGCTTACGATATGAACCCTGTACTTCATGCTCCTGTATATTGCTTCTGGATTCCAGTACTGCTGGCATACACAACATATATAACTGCAGCAGTTTAAGTGCAGTTCTCAAATGCATATTTTACGAGATTAAGAATCTCAATTTTTTTTCCTACAAATACAAGGATTAAAGAGTCATTGTAAAGGTATCAAAATCTACAAAACCTTTTCCTTTTGAAACCGTATGTATCAATTTAAATGCTAATCGTAAATATCGAGGAACTATTCTTTGTTTGGATAAAATTAAGATATCTTGTATCTGTTTTCTCTTTTGGCTTTGAAATTGCAGAAAACTATTTCTATGCAAGAGATGGAATTGAGAATCTTAGGCCCCGTACTGAATACTGACTTAATTTTGGATCCAGAGAGGGGTTATGTAAAATACTTAAGAGTGGGCGTCACGTGTTGGAAACAAGCGCACTGATCCCCTCTATCATGATCTTATTCTTATTGTTAGCCGAAAGCAGTGCCAATGTGCTATATTTTTTACTCATCTTTTTCATGCTATTAGGATACAAGATGAACTCTTTTAGTTTACACGGGTCGCGATAGCAATTTTCTAGGCAGGATGCCCACATGTTTGCAAATATCACAAGACTTATGCCTAATAGGCACAATTGTAAAAATTGAGACACATCACGTGAAACGATTTGGTGAGTTATTTTGGTCCAGTAGTGGTGAGCAGGCCCAGGATCATGTCGGGTTTATATTAAGTTGTATCTGCAACCTTTTTGAGCTGTATATGAGGTCTATGATGCAATTTCAACCGATCCCAATCGAAGCACCAAAATAACCTGATATCATAAAAGAAACATCTATAGTTACACCAAACAACTGCCACTACAAACTACATGTAACAATAATAGTTGCAGTAGTTACAATTACAGAAAAGCTGAACTTGCAGTACAATTACTATTGCATCGAAGCAATTGACACTTGCAGTATGACTGCTATTGCAATGGAGCAAACAATCTAACGGCTGCGGCCTACACCGTTGGATCTTGCTCAGAGGGGGCGAGCCTAAACAGTCTGGATTCCCAGAATTGCAAAGAGAAACACAGGTTATAGAGCTCTGATGCTTAAAAATGTAAACATTCAACGCTTTAATTTCAGCTATCGCTTATAACACAATTGATTGTGGATAACACTGATTGACCTCCAACTGCATATTTGTCCACACCGGCTTGCAACACTCAAACTTTGCCAGCAAACGAGCAAGAAATGCCTCAGCCCATGGCTCTTTCTCCTCTCTCAAGCTCAGATCATAGGGCACTGTGAAACTGTTAAAGGAATCCAAAATCAGATTTCCGAAGACGATATAGGTAAATTATAAGAGACACCCTTTATCAATCATGTTTTTTCAGAACCCCCCATCATCTATGACCGTTTAAAGTTTTGTTTTTCAAACCTCTGGACAGACATTCGCACTTGACTAGAGGTCTAAAAGCACATCTACACTATAACTTTCACACATTTGGGAGTTGAAAAGAAAACAATAGAGAAAAAAACTACTTTTTGCATAAAATAGAAAGTATAATTTTTAACGTGTTTTTGAATATGTACCGCCTCAAATCTTCCGTATTTGCAAATTTACCGCTCAAACATTGGTATTCACAAAATTACCCCTCAATTCTCTCGCACTGAGTTTTTCTACCCTTCTCACTAGACAATTTTAGTTTTTAAAGAGAAAATATTGCAAACCTATTGATTTTTTTTTTGACATTGCGCTATTTAGAAACCAATATTATTAAGATGGAGTAGGAAAATCCAATGTGAGAGAATTGGGAGGTAATTTTGCAAATACCAAGATTTGGGGGTTTAAATTTCAAATATGAAAGATTCAGGGGTATATATTTGGGGTTAAAATTTCAAATATGAAAGATTCACGGGTATATAGGCAAGTAACCCTTTTTATCATTAACCTAGAGTTTTGCATGTGGACGTCTTATTTAGACGTCTGACTAACCAAACCCTACTTTCATCAATCATCGTAGATGAGGGAAATTTTTGTTGAACATTTTAGATCATCAGGAGGTTTCTTCAAAAAACATGTTACATGGCGGGGTTACTTGTAATTCGCCCATGATATAACTCTCGAATCAAAGGTGGGAGAAATTATCCAGTCAATGTATCCACTGGACACACGGTTCCCAGAAATGAGAATCAATGAATCAGTACAAAAGAGGGTGAATAGGAATTAAAATGCACCAATCCAAGGGTTCTCACCCCTTAAAGATTAACACCTGTTCAGTGGACTCTGTCCACTAGAAAGTTTCACCAGAAGGTGCTTACCTCATTAGTTCTTCGAATTTTGTGTCAGATTTTCTGCTTCTGCAAATATGGCAAAATGAGTCATTGAGAGTTGGAGTAACTAAAATGAGGTCATTGTGAGTAAGAGATTAGCAACTAAAATGTGGACAAACTGCAAAACCTTTTGATCATGATCTGATAGATATGAAGAGACTTGGTAGAGAGATTGTAAACAGCATCGGTGGCATGATCTTTGCCGAAGAGATATACTACTGGATAGCCAAGAAGCCATCTGCAGGAATTACAGCATAAGAAACATGTCTATGAGATGAAATAGATGACAGGAAAGGAAAAAGTTTCAGAAAACTCTGTTTTATGATAAAAGAGTAGGTCAAGTCATGAATATCTTTCGGACATTTTAAGGGTAGAATGAAGGACCACTGGTTTAAACATGAATCACTTTACACAAAGATGAATCTTAAGGAACCTTCTATGTGGATGGAGGAAGTTCCGCCTGCTGTGGCGGAAGTTCATCCACACTGATACAAGTGGTTTAAAGCAATAAAGATGGATAAAAAACATTGTGTTCCGTCCTCAGAAAAATAGGGTGCGTTTTACTTTTAAGAAACCTGTCGGATTCGCCTTTATCAAGATTTTCTTTATTGTTGAAAGGTGTGTTGTTTATTGGCTAAGCTTATTGCATAACCATTAAGATAATCTCCCTATCAACTGGTGAACTGCCTTGATATTTCACCGAACCCTCACCTTCTAGAGCTGGCTCAGCTATATGAATTTGGCAGCTGCACTTAAGAAGGGCAATGTCAATGAATTCATGAGTTCCGTCAATTCTTCAGTGAAGTTTTCTAGAGCTACAGTGCCGATGTAGTCTACACCATACAACAGCCTACTTCATGGAGAAAACCTTATACAATGATGGTTGCTGGAAAGACTAAATGCAATTGGAAACAGAGTGAACACTTCCAAATGTATATCCAAGTTTGTAGAAGGGCTATCCTGTGGTTCTTAGCATTGTTTTAAATATCGGCCGATAATTGATATTATTGGCCAAGTTATCAGATTTGAGAGCTCTCCGCTAGGATAAGTTGGTTTTGTAATCAGTTATCGTTTTGGAGAGTATATCGGCAAGTTATTGGCACTTATCAGCCGATAAGGCTTAATTATCGGGATTATCGGCCGGGCATTTTGAGTTGGATTGTTGAGTTTTTAAACCCAACCTGACCCGCTTTCTACAATTAGTTAGTGATTCTAAACATGATGATTTACATTTTGGTATGTTTATATTTCATTAAGCATGGTTAAATTACATTTTTTTAGTTATTATATTATATATATACACCATCCGGTATATCACTCCGATAAATACTACTTATCCCCGATATATCCCCGATTTCCGCTATTCGATAAGGATTTTGGCTGTCCGATAAATCCTCGATAATCGATATTTAAAACCTTGGTTCTTAGTGATATCCAAGATGAAAGAGAATGTTAAAGGTAGTACAAGTAACAAGTGATCCATTGACAAAAATCCAAATGAATTTTGAGTTTTCTTGCCTATTGATCAAGCGAAGCAAAATGAACCGTCAGAAGGAGCATGTTCGTTGGATCTGTGATTTACACCATACAAGTTCAAAGATTGAAGTCTTTAATTATGATCTACACACTTTAAGACCTCAAGATGCTAATGTCTATCGAGAGCTGAAACTGAACAATATATTTGACCGCCCATTTTCTACCTGATGACTAGGCAAAAAGAAATTACAAGCATCTTATTTTTGGTTTTGGAAGACTTCTAAGTGGCGCAAATTATTGTGAATTGTGCGGCTCTTCAACTTAATACTACCATTAAATTTTGTTAAACAGTGAAATAATTGTAGATTATCATGGATTGAAAGAGGCTACAACTACACCCCTTTACATAGGGATACAAGATGAAAAGGTTTTGTGCCTGGACAATGGAACTAAATTCATGTGCCTAAGTACTCTTATTTTCCTAATAAACTAATCCTTCTAACAAATTTGAGCAGGAAACATTTGCTTTCAAAAACCCTCTCAAAGGAGCCAAGCGTATCTTTGTTTATCTACCAAAGAATTTAAGGAACTCAACAAATGAAGCACAAGAAAATCTAGAATTTGTCAGGCAACAAATAGGAGGAGATGATTACCCGTTGAGGGTTGGTAGGGTAATCTGAACGTCTTTCATTATCCCACTAAGATCGATTAGCTCTGATATCTGAGGAGTACTAGCACATACATTATCAATAGCCTTGCAGCCTGATGGTTGTGCACATGTATCATCAACAGAGAATATAGACAAAAATAATTTCTGAATTGATAACAGTTCTGACAGAACTAAGTTCTGATCTGTATGCAACAACATCTGCAACAACAGGAAGAAAGGAAAAGAGTAAAAAAGCAACATGAAAATGATTAGAAGATTAAATAAGACTATAAAAGTTAGTGCCAATAAAATATTCATAAAACTTCTTGAGGGGAAATAGCAAGACCTTTGGAGGATCTTTTGCCAAGTCGATGAACAGGAGCTGAGTCTCTGAACTGAGACTGGCCACCGCATACTCAGCAAGTTCCTTCGGATGCACCATATAAATCATATCATCTATGATCATTACTCTCAGTGGAAGTAAAATGGTTGACTCCTGAACAGAAACCATCTCATAAAAATGATAAGATTTCTTGCTGATGAGATATTTTTGTTAAACTTGATGATATAATAAAGAAAAGTTGCAAGAATCAATAGTTCAAGGTATAATTTGGTGTAAACTGTGAAAAACTGAAATGGCATAAGTGCTAGAAATATAGAAACATTACAATACCCCCCCGCCCAAAAAAAAAACCAAAAAAACTAACCAAAAAAATCAGCAGACAATCAGGGGAAAATATCCATGACAAGTGATAAAGCTTGTTGATGTCGACTGTTAGCCTACAATATAGCTTTTGAATAAAATAATTTCCTACAATACATGTAATATCAACATATTCCCTCTAACCATTTGCGTCACAACTCAAGTCTTTTTGACACCTATAGTTGAGTAAAGAACAATCGTTAATGGCCTCCACAGCCAGTTGCAGTAGCTTTTTTTGGGGGGTTTACCATTAAACAAGTTTGTTGAGAAATAGAAACCAAAAGGGTATCTGATCAGAAGTTACAAAGACTAAAACTGAAATTCAACCAACATATCCATAGGCGGATCCACATTGAGCATAGTGGCATCACTTGACCCCAATTTGCTCAAGGAATACTAGAACCTTCACCTTAGTAAACACCCACCAATCAAAAAAATTTATCACACTAATAAGCATGTGACCCTACAACAAAACCGAAGATACCCATATCCACTAGACCAAGATCATTTAGAAACCTAAAAAAGACCCAATAGATCACACCCATCTAATAACCCACCAATTAGACATAATAAGTTCACTAAATCCCAACTGGACCCACCCTTGTGTCTACCCGCGCCCGCCCAACTTAAAAAAGTCTCTTGCAATCTAATTGGGATAAATGTGAATAATCTTTTATTTTCCAGCTCTGCTATTTTTTTTCTAATTCTCCGCCTCCTTTGCCCCTTGATATCTGTCCACTTTGTCATAACTCGTCCGACCTAAGTTCTCCGCTTTGGTAGATCCTCCTCCGACTGCTCCTTGCTTTGCCCTTGTAGTGAGTTATTGTTCTTTTTTTTTTAATGCATATAATTTAGGATTTGTGGGGATTTTGGCCGTTACTGAGCTTTTTTTTGCTCTGAAGTTGATAAAGAGCAAGTTGTGGAATAAAATGAGTAATGATTGCCTCAATGATTTCTTAGTGGCATATATTGTGAAAGGTGTAAAGTGTTACTAGCGATGCGATTATGTAACTTTTCTAAAATATGAGAAGTTGTTGAGGCCAGTTGTAAACTTTTTAATTACTAATAATAATATAATCATATGGTGACACCACTTCTCAAAAATTCTGGATCTGAAACTGAACATATCACTACATCTTTAATCCTATATCAGTCTCAGAGTATCCTAGTACATCTAGTTAGTTTACCAGATCATATATTCCCTCATAATCAGCTAGATGATGTAGAACATTTTTATCTATCTATTATGTGAAAAGTAAAAACTAGCACTAGGCTTTCTTTGCTTCTTAAGCCTCTCTGCAGAATTCCTTTTGAAATTTAGAATGATGAAAAATTTAGAATGATGAAACCTTGACAGACATGGACACACCATGTTGCACTTCGACCTAGAAAGAGGGTGTCGGACAGGGGAACTATGCAAAATCTAGATACGAGGAAACAACATGTATGTGTTTTTCTACAGTGTGTGCATGTCTAGTGCGCAAGGGTGTGCTGTGTTGTGTGTGAGTGTGTGCGTGTGCGCATGTGTTTGACTGCCTGTGTGCACATGCGTGCCTGTGAATGCGTAGGGTGGGCTGTGTGTGATTGCCATTCGTATATAACAGAACTGAAATTTAAAGACAAATCTTTTAAAAGAGGAAATGTGTACTTATGCTTCAACCTATACCTATTTGCAAAGTGAATAATTGTTTACACCTTTATAAGTGTTGATATGACTGAATATGCATTTGAACACACCAATATTTGTTTGGGGGAGTGCCATACATATCATAGCAAAAAAAGAAAAGAAAAGGAATAAAAATCTTAGTTTTGAAAGACTCTTGCTTGCACATATTTTCTTTCCTTCCCAAGAACTTGGCACAAAGAAGGTTGATGTTAGGTTCCGTCAGTAGTAAACGACACAATTTGCTCTGGTGTGGTACTTTCCACTTTGGGTCATCATCCACATTCATCATCACTTTCACAGGAGAGGGCTTGGAATACCTCCTAAGTCCTAAGCATCTTTAAACATATTTTGCATCCTGTAAGCAGAAATCCATATTTATGATGCAGTGTTTCTCATCGCACACCTCAATTCCTACCAAACATGTGTTCCACTTGGGTATACAGGGTCTTAAACAAGGTTTTGTCCAAACTGTATAAAAAGAAAACACCATGGCTTTGTTTCTCAATCTATTTGATACATAAGTTTCATTGCAGCTTAATAGTCTCTTGATCTTGAAGAAGGGCAATGGGAAATTCCCTTCAGGGACTTTCTGAGAGTTCTTAGTGGCTGTGAAATTCTAGGTAACTTTCTAACATAATTCTCAATAATATATAACCTCTCATATTCCCATTAAACTGAAATTTTAACAAAAAGGTATAGGTACGCTTTGTGATACAGTTGTGCTCTAAGCTCTTTCCTTTTGCAGTTCTTATGAATACCTGTATTCAGAATCTCCATCATCACTGTTTCGAGAAGAATGCATTCGTTATTTGTTATCATGTTAGTGAATTGAATCATCTTTTCAGACTCGACCTAATTTTCTATTCCTTCTCACTTTATAAGTAAAATCAGTACTCATGCTAATGGAGGAATAATAATTTAAGATAATGGCGAACTAGATTTACATGTTACAGAACAAAATTGTTGCCTAAAGTATATAAAGAAAACATTGCAAATAAGACAAATATATAAATAATGAAAGAAATGGTGGAATGAGCAAAAAAAAACCTCCAGAAAATAAATGACATAATAAAATTGGAAAAACTAAATTAAATTTAGAGTAACTGCATAAAAGCATTGAGATTGGCTAATACAAGGTGACACCTTACTGATAAGACTCAACAACGAACAGAGATGATTTTGTAGTTCAGGCATCTTTCCACCATAGTCCACCATCACCACAGCCCTCAGTCCAGCGCACAAAGCCAAGACATCTGTGAAACATAGCAATTGGAATTTGAATCAAGATGCCCCATTACACTCACCTTAAATGTAAAATTTCATTCCAGCAGCACGAACAAACCTTATAAAGTTATAATCCACCTCAACTGTAGGAATCATCTTCCCGTCAACAATAAAGTAAGTGCAAATTAGTAGAGAAAATGATGGTATTGGTTTTTTTAAGTTAAGAAGTAAGAACAAAGCTTTTAATCCAAAATATTTGGAGATTGGCCAAACAAATTTCTTATGTACATTCAGCTTCATCACCTACTTCACTTGTAACTAACAAACTCAGATCAATCAAGAAGATAGGGCAACAATCGAAATGTAACCCATCGTTGCATAGAAAATGTATTAGCAATCCAAATGCTATGTAGCACGAACGTTAACATGAAAACTATGAACAATTGCATTTTCTTACTTTTCTTTGCAGTAAAACCATAAAAATATTGCCAACATAACCTTCCCTACCTAACATTAGTATCCATAACAAAGATATAGGTATCCAACGTACTATAAAAATATCAAAGAAATAAAAATAAGATACTGCTCCATGGTGCAAACCCAAATTCCAGATTGAAAATAAGTTTTATGACAATATAAATTATATCCTTGCATGCATGAATATAAGTTTTATGACAATATAAATTATATCCTTGCATGCATTAAAAGTACAAACAACCCTGAGGAGAACTCTGTATGCAAAGATCCACTGTACGAAATTTATTTTCTAGAAAACCAAGCAAATAAGTTGATTATTTTATCTAAAAGGTCTCAAGCATTTGAGCAAGATTTTTCCTTTATTTGGAAAAAAAATACTTGGGGTTTAATTTAAAAAAAAGATTTACAATTCTAAACTCCAGACATTACATAAATAAAATCAAAAGAGACAAAAGTGCATTTCTAACAAAATCAGGGCCAATTCAACAAAATTCTTGAAAATACACGAAAAAGATGATCAGATACTGTTCAGTGTGATGATTTGGATCAGACCCAGATGCATAAATGTGATTACTGAATCGAAATGAAAATTCCCAGAAAAATAATTGAGAAAAAAGAATAAACAAAGATCAATACCCGTTTCAAGGCGGCGCTTTGATGAAGGCCTGAGCCTCCATTTGATAACAGAGAGGGAAGAATCCAATAGCTTCAGAATCTCCTCTGCAGCTCCTGCTTCCATCTTCATCAAGAACTGAGCTTTGCCCCCTTGTTTTTTCAATCCAGGCCTGTGCAGCTGTGCTTCAATATTTTACAGGTAGGCCCTGAGGTTTTCAAAGTTGCAGATAACTCCTATAAATCAAATCATATTACATTTACCCTTTGTTTTATTTTTGAGTTTTTAGGTATATACTCCGTAAATCTTGGACATTTTAAAAAAAGCACTCCAAATCACAATAGTTGATAATTTATAGTCAAACTAACATTTTATCCCCAGATTTATTACTATAAAAAATTTCACAATAGATCTAAATAGATTGTTTGTTGTATTCTGTTGAATCTGGTTAGCATCATTGTTTCAAAGCTTTATTAAAGATGATGGTGTGATTGTAGACTCCTCTGTATGTTTTATTTTGGTATCTCCAATTTCTACCCTCACATAGATGATATTATTATGAAAAACTTATTATATTCTCCTTAGTTAATTGTTGTTATTATGAAAGGCAAGATATTTGCAAGAAATGTGGAAGCTCACATGAAACTTGTTAGCAGCAACATTTCCATGATTGATGGTAAAAAAATATCTCAGAAATCAAATGCAAGATTTTCCTACATGAAGAATGTGTCATTTCATTCCCCAGATTTATTACTATCAAAATTTTCACAAGGATTGTTTGTTGTATTCTGTTGAATTTTGGTTAGCATCATAGTCTCAAAGCTTTATTAAAGCTGCTGATGTTAATGTAGGCTTCTCTGTGTGATTTATTTTGGTATCTCCGATTTCTACCCTCCCATAAATACTGTTATTATGAAAAAATTATTATCTTTTCCTTAGTTAATTGTTGTTATTATGAAAAGCAAGATATTTGCAAGAATGCGGAAGCTCACACGTAACTTGTTAGCAGCAACATTTCCATGATTGATGATAAAAAATATCTCAAAAATCAAATGCAAGATTTTCCTGCATGAAAAGTGTGTCATTTCATTCCCATCAATCTCAATCACGGATATACTTATAATTTATATTTAGCTAAATGGCACTTAATATCATATTGTTTCACTACTTTTACACTTAAATATACTAAGTTGTAAAAATCATCACTTTAATATCCTAAGTCTTAAAAAATAACATTTTGATATCCTAAACTGTAAAAAATGGCACATTAGTATCTCCTATTAGTTGCACGTGGGAATAGTCCTAGGAATATTCCTAGAAATATTTTCATATGATTAACACATGATATTTTATTATATTTATCTCATTGTCATACTTACCACTATACTCACCGTCCATCTTTTTATTAGTTTTTATGGAGGGATATTTTCTTCGTAACTAATTTTTTTAATAACTATATGTTAACGGTGGACAACTTAGGATATTTATATATGTGCTTTTTTCTAGATTAGGATTAGATTATTTAAGTATAAATGTAAAACAATATAGTATCTAAAGCAAAATCTTTCTCCTTAAACTCTCCCAGAGCTTGTAACGTTAGCTTCTCTCTTCTTGTCACATGTAATCAATCGCAACCATCCAATGTCTTCCAAAATTAATCATCATCATAACATATATCATCATATATATAGAAATCAAATCATCTGTTACTAGCTAATATCTTTTATATTTAGAAAATATTGTTAACTAATTGTTTAAGAAATCTTGATTTTTATATATAGGGAAGGAAAATATACTTAACTATTTTAGTAATAGACTATCTCAAAAAAATATAGAAATCAAATCATCTGTTACTAGCTAATATCTTTTATATTTAGAAAATATTGTTAACTAATTGTTTAAGAAATCTTGATTTTTATATATAGGGAAGGAAAATATACTTAACTATTTTAGTAATAGACTATCTCAAAAAA